TTTCCTTTTTTCTTTTACTTCTTCCTGTATTCCCTTGTCTGTTCGTCTCTACAAGTGGATAAAATGAAAGATGAAAAGGAAGCAAAGATATAGGGATAGCACAGGATCCAGCTGTCACAATGCAACAATAGTAGCATTTCATACCTTTACCTTGGTAGCTGTACTGTCCGGTGTATCAACTTTGCATTTTTTTTATTTTTTTCGGACCATAAGTAGCAATTATTTATTTCATGACACGGTCTATGTGTCCTGTGCCCCCGTGTGTCCCGTGGCCCCTACGCACCCACACCGTAAAGAAGGTCTATGTGTCCTGTAACCCCGTGTGCCCCGTGCCCCCATACCCTATCCTCCCTCACTGGCTATGAGGGCACAGGACACATAGGGTGAGTGAGGGTGAATAGGGTATGGGGACACGGGACGCATAGACAGAAGTATATACATTTACAGACAATTAGACATACACATTACACACACACACACACACACACACACACACACACACACACACACACACACACACACACACACACACATATATATATATATATATATATATATATATATATATATATATATATATACACACACACACACACACACACACACACACACACACACACACACACACACACACACACACACACACACACACACACACACACACACACACACACACACACACACACACACACACACATACATTACATTTACAGACATACACCTTACATACATTTTAAATACAAACAGGCAATCGAAGTGAAGGTTTTTGCCTAAGGGAACAAAGTCACCAGCCGGGACTCGAACACTCGAACTCTTGGTCGCCAGCAGGAGTGGGGCGACTCTGGAATGGAAAAGACAATCTAGTCATTTCCGATGGAAACGAACACCAGAATCAACCGTACCAAAACAATAGAAATCGAACGAATCTAGTTTCGTCCCGAAAAGCGTTGGTAACGTTTTTTTTCCAAATTTACCAGAAAATGCATCAGTGATAACCGTTTTACTTCTCTTAAATGATTTAATACATCAGAAGGGTGCTAGCCTCTCCTTCTCCTTCTCCATTTTCCTCTCCTCCCTTTTCCTTTCCCTCTCCCTCCCCCGTTTTTCTTATCTTACCTCCTCTCTCTTATGCTTCTTTTTGAGATCTTTTGTACATTCTATATCCTCCTTCCTTCTCCTTTCTCTCATAATTTACATCTATTATCCAACCAAGCTGTAATTTCCCAGAGTATGATTTCAATTATATCATTTCTTTATTTACTTCGTTTAAATCAACCTTTTACTTCACCGACTTCTAAAATAATAGTTTCAGGATTTGGGAATAAAACACGATATAAAACCTGCATATTTATTGTGAATTATGCCTTTTATGTACCACTTCTCCTGAAGACCTTTACATATACACAATATTGGTCATTTTGGTCCCAAGAAATGCACTTCTTAAAATAAGTTGACACATGCAAAAAGGAAAAAAAAATCACTCTAGATATCAAAAGGTAATATACAGAGTGATTATCACTATACTTCAAAATAGTTCGTACTAACTATTACGTAAAAGCCATTTCAAAACTGATCATTTTTGGAAGTGTGGTAGTTTCTGAATTGTGATTGGAATGGTTTGCTGTAAAAAAAAAAGGGTAAACTACTTGCTATTATTATTCAATGCACAAATAAAATGTCTAGGTTTGCTTTTATAAATACTTATCAAATTTAGTTTTCCGGTCTCACAGTCTTATTTTTTTAATATAGAAATTGTTATTATGAACAGGCAGATGACTATCCAGTATATCTAGACATCCTCATAACAAAATAAAGATCTATATCAAAATATTAGTGTTTCATGAGTGGAAAACAAATCTGGTTTGAGTTCTGCTCTAATTACTAAACCTTTGTGCTCATTAATTCTCTTCTAATTGTTCAATATGGCATTTAAGTAAATTTTACCATGATGTTTATTTTCTTAATTATTGTAATCAAAAAATGTTTTGGAAGTTCAATATTCCAGATTTTTTTTTATGGTAACAAATCTGATGGTAAATTATTGTTTGCAATACAAATCCAGTCAGGTATTATTTTCAGGTATTTATTATGCTAATATTTTTCACTCTTAAAGGACACAAAATAGAAGTTTTTAACAACATTTAACATCTGAGGAAAGTACAAAAATGAATTTCCCGTAGTATGAAATAAGTACAGCTTGTATGGCAAATGAACAGCAGCCTTAATAACAATGGATTTTTCATTCCAAGATTTGTGAGATATGAAACCTGAAGTATTATCAATATCATTTAATATATAATGACTAATTCATCAACAACTTATTATTAAGGTAAAAATTAACATGCAAAATGTAAACAAAAAATAACTGATATTCTAAATTTTTTGAGCAACTCTAGTTAGTGAAATTTAATCTGTTACAGAAATATATAATTCTCTTATTCAAAATACGAGAGAAAAAAAATGAGTATTTAAAAGATTTCCTACACATCCAAATACCTAAATTACACACTATTCATTGCTAAAATAACAAATGACCATTCGGATCACCTTAACTTTAAAATCAACATCTACATTTACATTCTATGTGTTTTCTATACTATGCACTAAGAAAAGGGAAAATGATCTGAGTCATTTTATACTACATATTTGAGTTCACAATACACTGGAAGACAAGATCAGTGGATATCACAAGATTATCTTGAACAATGAATGCCTCTTATTTAAAATCAGTAACGTGAGAAATCAGATCCTTTAAAACCGTAATTAAACAGTGAACATAAAGTCACAGGTAGATAAACAGGAGGCATGATTTCACGCACAAAATTATTTACAAAACGTGTGTCCATTTGAAATGTATTTGAAATGCATTACAATTTTCTGAGAATCTCAAAATCAAAATGAAAAGGTTTGTTTTTCATTTCACAACGACACTGATCTATTTATATCGTTCAGATTTTTTTTCTGGAGATTTCAACAAACAGATCTATAATGTACTATATGGAAAATGATAATCTGCATACATTTCTTTTGAAAAAAGTACTGAGACATTCACGGAGTAAAATATATACAATCAAAATATACAAATACAGACATACATGTCTTTTCTCTTCTACACAACTGTATATATATACCTTCTAACAATCAAATATATATATAGATATATATGTATACAACAACAAAAGAGGGAGCATGCCACTTCGTCTTCAGTCACCCGTGGCACATCCTATGGAAATAATATATAAACGAGTTTTATGAGTTCCTCTTATTTGCAAGAATATATTCTCACATAATAATATATTCCAAGGAAATCAATAGCTTAAGAATAAAATTTACACCTTATACAGAATCAAATTTACAATCATTTAAAGGAACAAAAAACAAACTTAGAATGTACAGTTTGTGACAAAGTAATAAAGAGGAAAAGTATCTGAACGAAATTTATAGTTGTAGAAGTATATGAAGAAATTATATTCATCATCAGAGTATGTCTAGTTTTTTTAGACAAATAAAATATATTCTGTCAATACTTTTCCAGTTTATGTTATTCTAATACATCTACTGTTTTTTTCTTTCTTTTTTTGTGGGGGATCCTGTATACTACCTAAGGTTTCTTAAATGTCAGTAGCCATAAGGCATACTGTAATTTAATGAATCCAATGAAACTTTTGAATTTGTTGTGAGAATGCCATGCCTTCCAGTTTTAATTATGAACATTTCATAAGGAAGTAATCAAGGTATCAATAAATATCACACTCGATAAGAAAGTAGTTTAAGAATGTAGGCTATATATGGTTGTCATCTTCTGTGAAAACCATTGATATGTACAGATTAATTAAACAATGCCTGGACAGCCTCTTTTCCCAATACATTGTGGTAAAAGAAACAAAAGAGGCTGCATTATGTAATAAATGCCATCCAACTTTAGAAGGAACTGACTAAAGTAAAATATATATATATCACAACATATTCACAAATTTCCACTCACCCCTGTCCTCATTAAAGTACAAATATGCATTATGTTGAATCTATTTTTGTAACAGCCTTTTTATTTTATTTTTTATTTTTTTTTTGTTGTTTTTCTGTTTTGTTTTGTTTTTGTTTTTGTATTTTAATAAATGACATGATTCCTTTCATAACAATTTTCAGATTAACATTTTTTATGATATTTCACTTGATTAGCACAGTGGACACCTATACTAACATGAAATATAAAATCTGCTGTAAATTGTAAATAACTATCTACATTTTCTTATCTGTGAACGACATAAGAGATATCACAGTCTTTTTTTCCATATAACATACCAATAAGAATAGCTTTATTAATTCAAAAATAGCTCATTATTCATCAGCATTGTTAGAAGCAAATGTTTTAGTCACAAGAAAACTAATGGATTAAAAACATGAATCTGATTTCACTTATTAAACATTAAACGTACTGAGAATTTAGTAAAAAACAAAACTTCTACACTTCATCCTGATTTTAAAAATCTAAAAAGTTATCATAACAATGTGTTTATTCATCCTAAGATAATAATATCTAAACATACAGTATTAAGTAGCTGATCTACGTAAGGGTTACAACATTAGACTACATGTGACTACTTATAAAGTAATCAATGACTATTTCTCTATAAAGATATATAGATATATATATACAAATATATATATATATATACATAATATATATATATATATATATATATATATATATATATATATATATATATATATATTAATACATATATATATATATATATTATATATATATATATATATATATATATATATATATATTATACACACATATATCTAGAGAGATCGAAATTCATTCTCTATCATTTTTTTGTTCTTGTATGTATGCATGTGTGTGGTATATATGTATATATATATATATATATATATATTATATATATATATATATATATTATATATATATATATATATATATATATATATATATATATATATATATATATATATATATATCATATAATATCTAGGAGAGAAGTTCGAGGTTCATTCTTTATCATTTTTCTTGTTCTTAACAATGAAGCAAGTGATAAATGACACCAAGGCCTGGATAGACTGAGTACATTTACATCATTAAATATTGTGCAAGGCTAGTACAAGGATAATCAATTCACTTGATGACCTCTAAACATTTGCCCCAATATTTAAGTTTTGAAAAAAAAGAGATTACATGTGGCTATTTGGATGATTCCAATATAACAGTTGGTACACACTATCCTGTTCCTTTTACATGTACTGTATGTACTATGACCACTCTACAAAGATCACTGAACCTGCAATTTCATGTGACTATGTACTGCACCACTAAGTGATCGTCTACTTTCCCTTGTGGATAACAATGGCCCTATAATAATGTGTTTCTCCCATTGTAAGTCAGTACTATGGCGAGTGACTTGTTCTGTAGATGAAATTGTTAATAGGTTACTGTATTAAAACACCTATGTCATTTATAACACAACAAGGTCTTCCATAAAACCTTTTGGAAATACATGGAAATCAACAACTTAACCTTTCTGATGTGAAGGCCAAGTGTTTTTCATTATAAATATGACAAGAAGTACACTAGACTGCCTCAGTGATATATGTCTTAGACAGTCATATGCTCATATCACATTTTCATTCATTTGTGAAAACGTGTATGTTAATGCAAATACACGTCCAGAAAAATACTTAACATATAAAACATACCATATATAAAATCATCCTTTGATGTAGAATTTTGATAAAACAAATGGACAGAATATTATGAAAAAGTAACACTAACTGTCGCATAAACCTGCCAATTAAATAATATGCATTTAAGATCACTATATATCAAAGATATGTATGCATGTACCTTTCCCATTTTGACACATATCTGCAATAGTACTATTCATTTTAACATTACTACCTTACTAATAACAATGGAAAGGTTTCTTCCATTTTTCTAAAAACAGTACATCATTACAATTAACAAATTAAGAATACAAGGAAACTATTACCTCTATGCTCACTTATCTCAAACATTATTTCTAAAACGTAGTAGACATAAAATCCCTAATCATTAGTTGAATCAATAATCATTAGTTGGATTATTCAAAGCAAAAGCATTACAAAACATGAATATGAACTGAGTTTTGAATTAAATCCATCACGGTGAACACTAGATACTGCATCTTTTTCTTTTACAATATTAGTACAGGGTGTCTTATGCTATTTGTTAATTCTGAGAGGGAGGGGGAGAATGGTTTACTTTTTGAGACAGATCATTGCTTTGTCATCCACAAGAAATGCATTAAGTGAGAACGAAAATTAACACAAAAAATAAGAAGGGAGAAACTAACCATTAAGACAAGTTAGCGTTCTTTTACTCGCTCACTCATACTCAAACTCATATTCTCTCTCTCTCTCTCTCTCTCTCTCTCTCTCTCTCTCTCTCTCTCTCTCTCTCTCTCTCTCTCTCTCTCTCTCTCTCTCTCTCTCTCTCTCTCTCTCTCTCTCTCTCTCTCCACATTCACTCTTGATCCCATTCTCAGAGTAAGTAGATCCTCCTCCCTCCCTTATTGTTACTCGCGCCTTACACCCTGTATTCAGGCAGTAGTCAGGTGTCCGAATGGTAAGACTTGTAGGTGTGCGACCGCCGTTTGTGGCCCAGAGTGCAGAAGAGGAGCATGGAGGCGATCATCCCGAAGAGCTGTTGAGAGAGAAAGATTGAGTAATGTGGACCTTAGAATTATAATATTACTAAGACGATGATATAATGATAATAACAATAACAATAATAATAATAATAGTAATAATAATAATAACGATAATAATGATAATGATAAACATCATCATCATTATCATCATACGTGTGTGTGTGTGTGTGTGTGTGTGTGTGTGTGTGTGTGTGTGTGTGTGTGTGTGTGTGTGTGTGTGTGTGTGTGTGTGTGTGTGTGTGTGTGTGTGTGTGTGTGTGTGTGTGTGTGTGTGTCTAATAATGAGTTTCAGAAAAGACATCGCTGTGGTGAGGGAAGGGAGAAGGGGAAAATTTGAATAAAATAGGCAGTAAACCTTAAATCTGTCACGTGGAAGATAAGATATAAAAAAATGAGTAATACAAAATGTTCATACCAAACATAAAGATAAACCAGGTAATGACCGCTTCTCTCTCTCTCTCTCTCTCTCTCTCTCTCTCTCTCTCTCTCTCTCTCTCACTCTCACTCTCTCTCTCACTCTCACTCTCCTCTCACTCTCACTCTCACTCTCACTCTCCTCTCCTCTCATCTCCATCTCCTCTCCTCTCCTCTCCCTCTCCCTCTCCTCTCCCTCTCCCTCTCTCTCCTCTCCCTCTCCTCTCCTCACCCTCACCCTCACCCTCACCCTCACCCTCACCCTCACCCTCACCCTCACCCTCACCCTCACCCTCACCCTCACCCTCTCCCTCTCCCTCCTCCCTCTCTCTCTCTCTCTTCTTTTTTTTTCTTTACAAACCTGCACAAAAGCAAATATGAGACCGATGACGCCAACGAGGTGTAGTCTCTCGATGAACCACATCTTCACCTGCATGTAACACCCGGCTCTGAACCAGTGTTCCTCCTCCTCTGATTTTCCGCAGTCTGCAAGGAATACATGAATATTTATAGATTGATAAAATTTAGCTGCGTCAGGGTCAATATTTACGTTGTGTTGATAAAAGTCAGTTGTCAAGGTTGGTATTGTGATTATTAATTTGAATAACGTTTATTTTTTTATGAAGAAAAAATGTTTTTAATTTAATAACGTTTAATTCTTATGAGAAAAAATGTTTTTAATTTACATTTAACAAAGTTCAATATGTATGAAAAAATGTCTTTAATTTAGTAACGTTTAATTCTTATGAGAAAAAAAAATGTTTCTAATTTACATTTATCAAAGTTCAATATGCTTACAGTTTACCCTTCATTCAAGTACATTATTAGTTTTATCATTCTGTTCAGAATGACTTATATAATCAGATTTCAGAAATCGCGTAAGAAATAATCGAAGTTTTACAATTTATTCGCCATTTGCTAAACTCATTTGCACAATCTTTTTTTCAAGCGACATTTGCAATCTATTATTCATGGTACACTGTGTATGTGTGTGCGAACGCTCTAAATACTCAGCAAGGTTTCGCATCCAATATATATGCAAATTTGATTACTTTAATTGTATCACAGAAGACCTTTGAAGTTTCTTTTTTCGCTACTGAAGAAAAAAAATCATTTTGTCATACTTTGCATTGAAAATCAATCTAATTTACATCTAAACTCAACTTCAGAAGTAAATTTGATGCATTTTAAGAGACAAGAGAAGCCCTGAAACAAGTGCTATAACTGTGTTAAGTAGACCTTTTCAATAATAATAATAATAATAATAATAATAATAATAATAATAATAATAATAATAAACAATAATGGTAATGATAAACATCATCAACATCATAATATCAATAATAATGATAACTATAATAACAAAAACAATAACAGCAATTCACATCCAAACACCAACTTAAGAGCCAAAGTTGAAATGCATTCATGAAAGACAAAATAAGCTCTGACACGCACCCAAGTCATCAGTGTATTTGGATATACAGCAGGATCGCGGGACCCACTCCTCATGGGGCCAAGCGGCGATGTTGAACCAGTCCCGGGGGCCCTCGACGCCACAGCACTGCAAGGTCCAAGTGGAAGATTAAGGTAAGTGAGAGGAGGGAGGTGGAACGTGTTAAGGTAAGGTAGGAAGGGACGGAATGGTTGTTGAGGTAAGGGGAGGAAGGGAGGTGGTAGGTTGTTAAGGTAAGGGGAAGGAAGGGAGGTGGTAGGTTGTAAGGTAAGGGAGGAAGGAAGGTTGTTAGGTAAGGGGAAGGAGGTGAATGGTCGTTGAGGTAAAGGGAAGGGATGTGGAAGGTTCTTAAGTAAGGGAAGGGAGGTGAATAGTTGTTAAGGTAAGGGGAGGAGGGAGGTAATTCAAAGGGAGAAGGGGTGAATTACTTGGGTTCATAGGGTTGATTTTCTATTGGTTATAGCCTGAGAAGGTGTCGAGGGATCTGAATGAACTAAGAGAGTAGCAACTGTTGGTAATTATAATAGGACTAAAATAATGATGTAAAAAATGTCCATTGATAGCATAATAGCGATGGGATTACAAACCTTAATGATATCCATGGAGGTACAGAAATTACACACCCATGTACATAATAACATGGAGGCCTAACCATCCCCTACCAACTCCACCCCTCCGTGCCTACCCCAACCCACCCCATCCTAACCCATTGTACCCATCCGACCGTCCCCAATCCAACCCACCCCAACCTATACCAAACCAACCCACCTCATCGCCTCATCTCAACCCACCCCAACCCATCCATCCCATCCTAACCCACTATACCTACCCCACCGTACCCAGTACACCCTAACCCATCCCAACCCACGCCAAACCCCTCACTATACCCACCCCGACCTATTCTATCCAAACTTACCCCATTCCAACTCACCCCATCTCAACCCAACCCACTATACCCATCCCATCCCAACCCACTTTAACCCCCTACCGTCCTAACCCACCCCAACCCATGCCAACCCACCCACCGTACCCACTCCAACCCACGCCAACCCACCCCACCGTACCCATCCAACCCACGCCAACCATCCCACCGTCCCTCACCCCAACCCACGCTAACCCACCCCACCGTCCTCCTCACCCCAACCCACGCTAACCCACCCCACCGTCCTCCTCACCCCACCCACCGCACTCCTCACCCCACCCACCGCACCGTCCTCCTCACCCAACCCATGCTAACCCACCCCACCGTCCTCACCCCAACCCACCCAAACCCACGCGAACCCACCGTCTTCACCCCAACCATCCCATCCAACCCACATACCACTCTACCGTCCTCACCCCACTCCACCCACCGCACCGTCCACCCCACCGTCCTCACCCCCACTCCACCCCACCCCACCCCCAACCACCTCGAACTGCGTCTGCAAATGGTTCCACGTAATGGCCACAGCATTGTCCGCCGTCTCGTTAAAGGAGCGTCTTATCCCGGCCTGCAGCTCGGCAATGAGGGTGGTGGAGACCTCGGCTCTGAAGGCAAAGGCGAGCGTCCCCGCCACCAGCTGGAGGGAGAACACCACCACCACCAGGCTGAAGTACTGCGGGAGAGAGAGAGAGAGGGAGATGGGGAGGGTGAGAGCGAGGGAGCTGGGTCGTGTGATCCGAGTGGGTATAACTGTATGAGGAATAATCGAATGATAATGGTTTGTGAGGATGATAGTCATGGTAGTTGTAGTATTTGTAGTATTGATATCAGTAATATTGAAAATAATTATTATTATTATTGATAACACTATCATTATAATCATTATCACTATCATTATCATTAATCTACCATTAATATTATCATCACCATTATCATTT